TAACAATGATGATGATGTTGATGCTGATGATGAGGATAACAAAACAGAAATGCAAAACTCAAAAAGAAAACCAAAGAAAGAAACAGAGGCTGACTTATTTGCGCATTTGCACACACACACACCCACGCACACCTACAACAAATTACAAGAATTAAGTGAAGGGGAATAAATGATGGATGAATGGGTCAAATAATAATTGGTAACAGTCAAGTCTGAATGTGTTTGAATGTTTGAAAGAAAAGAGAAAAAACAACACACAAGAAACACGCCGAAATTGTGTAACAATCATAAGTCAAATATACAGAGGAGAATAGGGAATATAAACAAGCAAGTTAATTTATATATATATATCGACGTCAATCGACTCACTGGCTGACTGACTGACTGACCATTAGTCATAATATATTACCGGCTTACTAGTGAGAACGATGTGTGGTTAGGTAGAGAGAGAGAAATAATAGTTATACTAGTTTAGAGTAATGATATGCACAGTCATTCATTCATTCATTGAACTATACATAAACACACACCTGAAGATGTGGAGAGTAAAGAGACGACAAGGAATTAGGAAAACAATTATCATTCCTCATAGAAACGAAAAGAGATTAAAAGTCCATAAAAGTGATAGTAGGGGGAGGGGCAGTGTTTACAGAATGTAAGTTTAAGCCACAAAAAAAAATAATAATAAAGTTGGAAATCATCAACAGCATCATCAAGGGAGAGGAGAGAAAAAACAGTGGAACAATATAAATATATGTATCTATATAAACACAGGTTGAAGAAAGACACAGATTTATGATATAGAATAGAATAGAATTGAATATTATCTCCTGAAGAAAGAAAGAAAGCACACTATCATTGATCTCTTCATCTATCCATAGATCTACCACCTACTGATTGATGTTATTTATATTGGATTGCCAATCTCCTTTATTATATATTTCACAAGACCGGAAGACAACAAAATACAGGGAATAAAATACATCACGAATGCATTGGTCATATGAGATGTGACTGCCTGCCTGACTGACTGATTGATTGATTGACTGACTGAAGGACTGACCCGTCGATAAGCAATCTAAGGTAAACAATAAAAGCAGAAAATAAACAGTAGACAAAGCAATAAGAAGAGGTAATTTGTCTGAATCGTGTAGTGCGTATTTGTGCAACACTCATTTCGAACAATCTGATCACACACCCACTTGTCATAGGAAATTAATAAAGAGTTAAGAGGTGAGAAAATAGACTTAGGTCAAGCTAAAAGGACATATTCAAGGTCAAAACAACAATGAAGACCACTAAACCAAATAACAGAGGTAATAGTACATCTACCCTGGCTGGTATCAAAACAAAGTTTACCAAGGAAGGTTTAATGTGATGAACGCATAAAGGTGGCTTAAACTTTCTAATTGCTAGGGCTTCCACAAACTTTAGGATACGCCCCAAACACGTTTTATAGATAGGTTTAAAAGATCTGTTAACGTCAATTTTATGTCCTGTCTCTATAATATGTTTCGCAATAGAGTAGCTAGGTCTCCTGTTCTCACCATTAATGGGTTCTGAAGATTCTATTTGCTTCTGGAACCATTTAGGAATATGCTAAGAAGCCCTTACTTGCAGAGATCGATGAGTCCTCCCTATGCATGTGTTCAAACGTACATTAAAATTCGACTATGGACGTATTGCACTACAGCTTATATGAAACATTCTAAGCTGAAACAATTAATGTCGTCAAAGAAAACAAAAGCTAATAGCGATAGTATAGCGCGTCATTTACTGGTGTTAATAATCACTGTCCTACAGAATGGGACTGCCAAGGAAATAAGTGAGATTTATTAAACGAAATTGATCGAAAACAAAGATACCGTGAAAAGATCATGACCTAGCATAATTTATTCATGTGTAATATTCTAGTCTCCCTATGTATTCAGTATCTTTATTTACATTAAAAAGAAAATAACGTAAACAAAATAGTGTACAGCTTGAAGATAATAGTTATAAATGAGTATACACTTCTTAGGAGATATTACATGGTTACAGGCAATCGGCAGGAAACCCTACCTAGCACCTAGCTAGCTGGTACTCACCAGTCAGCAAGGCGTGTTTCCGACCTTGAAGGAACTCATATACCTTCTAAAATTCGAACCGGGCCACCCAGAGAGCGCTGCCTTCAGAGATGTGACCACTGAGCTAATCGGGTATAAAAAGCCGGCAACACCCATTATTCCAATTCGGTCGCCCATCCTAGTATTAAGTGGGCCTAACGTTGCTTAACTTCGGTGATCCGACGTGGTATGGTTGCCGACTTCGAAAAAGCCTTCGACAGAGTTGACTGAGAAGTGATTTGGAAACTTCTTCAACGCTACGGCGTGCAGTGCACATATCTTTATCAAATTCATTCAACAGCTATATGACGATGGCACATGTCAAGTGATCCACAACGGAAAACTCAGAGAAGGCTTTGAAGCGAATACAGGAGTAAGACTAGGCTTTCTGTTGTCACCAACGATGATATTCCTAATTTTGGTGGACCGGATCATGCGTCAGACTGTGCTCTGGGAACGAGGAGATAGGAGTGCGCTTGACCACCGATAAGAAGACTCTAAAAAATCTGGATTTCACAGATGATATATGTCTAATATCACACAAACTCGAAGACTTACAGGCAGAAACCAACAAACTGGTTGAAAAAGCAGGCACAGAAGACAGGGCTGTAGGTGAACACACAGAAGATGGAGGTGTTGAAGATAACTAATCAATAGCAACAACAACAACATGAACAACCAGCATCAATCACCATCAACGAAAGAGATTTAACAGGTTGAAGATGGTAAAACTGGCCAGTTGGAATCGGAAAGGCAAGATACTCCCTGATCAAACTGAAACCAGTTTGGAAATGTTCTCCATTCTGCAGAATCAAGAACGAGACTCGATTTCTGTTCAACACAAATGTGAAGGCAGTCAGTCAGTTCTTCTATGTAGGTCAGAAACTCGCACTGCGTGTCACGAAAAGGATTTTCAACATGCCACTGTAAACTTTCATCAACAGCTGTCTTTGCTGGCTCCATGCTGGAGTTCAAATGAACAGAAAGAATTAACAACAAGAAACTATGGAAACAAACCAACCAACAACCTCTCGTTCAAGAAGTATGTAGGAGAAAATGGAAATGGATCGTCGAATGACATTGCTCGCAATGCAAGCCATTGCTCAAGTGGAATCCCAATGGGAAGCAACGAGTGGGTCGTCAGTGCGAGTGTGACATGGAGGAGATCGTGTGTTGGAGAGTTGAGAGATTATGGGCAATCGTGGACCCAGCTAAAGAGGACAACAGAAAATAGAAAAGAGTGGAGATATATTGTTAAAGCTCTATGTCCCACTAGCAATCCAAGGGAATAATAATAAAATAATATATGCACTTTTCTTAATATCTTATTGTTGACTAAAATTCAGCCTTAACTAGCTTGTTGTAAAATGTTGTTGTTATGTGAACTCAGATTTTCCATGAACTAGGCAAAAAACTACACACTTATTGTGTAAAAGCTGATGATTCTACAACCAATGCTGAATTAGATGGGGCGAGACTAGAACCATAGACATATTGGCTGTGAGTCGACTGCGCTTTAAGTCAACAAGTCACATCCTTACTAAAGCTAACACAGAGAGTACTGTATATTTTTAGATCGATTTGCATTTCCCGTTAATTATTTATGTTGAACGGAAATACTCGATCACTGTTGTCATGTCAGCTCTTAGTAAGGACAACAACAACAACAGCAGCAACATCCACTGCCAATCACCATCAACGGGAGGGATTTGAAAAAGGTTACTTCATTCACTTATCTAGGGAGCATTGTCTCAACCACAGCAGGAACGGACGAGGATGTCGAATCGAGAATCGGGAAGGCGAGAAACACATTCATCAACCTGAAACCAATTTGGAAATCTTCGTCACTCACCATCAACAACAAAGCTATTCGGATTTTCAATACAAACGTCAAGTCAGTTCTTCTATACGGATCAGATCAGAAACTTGGTGGGTCACAAAGATTATTTCTAACAGGTTGCAGACCTTTATCAACAACTGTCTTCGCTCTATACTCAAGATCAGATGGCCGGAAAGAATCACCAACAAGAAACTATGGGAACAAACAAATCAGGAACCAATCACCCAACAAATATGCAGGAGAAAGTGGAAATGGATTGGACACTCGCTGAGGATGCCACTGGGTGACATCGCGCGTCAGGCCAACGCTCGAGTGGAACCCGAAAGGGAAGCGGCGAGTGGGACGTCAGTGCTAGGGTGACATGGAGGAGATCGTGTGATGAGGAGCTGAAACAGTATGGATTAACATAGACGCGGGTTAAAAGTACAGCAGAAGACAGAAGCAAGTGGAGACGTGTAGTTGAAGCCCTATGTTCCACTAGGAACCCAAGGGAACAATAATAATAATAATTTTAGTTGACGATGAACGGCAATGGAATCCAGGATGCATATTTAGTTTTGTCTAGGACTCTTCATATGGATGTGTACCTCTACTCCCAGATTTCAAATGCCAAAGCATCATATCCAATAGGCCACCAAAAGCCGCCTCTTGTACGATAGGTGGTGGATAACGCTATGGGGTTCGGGACAATTACATGCATGCTTCGAGTTTCAGTGGGAACACCGTCACTTACTTGAGGGAATGCTTGTTCCAAATAGGATAAAATACACATTGTGGACTCCACACTGCTAGTCACTATCAACCAAAATAATTTCAAAAGGATATTGTTGTTTTTAATACATTTTTAATAATATTTTTCAAAAACGAATTGATAGCCTAAAGATGATAAATGGCAATTAGTACAGGTGGCCTTAATATACATCGGATATATTTTTTTCTCAGGAACCATAGTTAATTGTTGAACTAATTAAATAACTATCTTTCAATAAAAATATATATGCATACATTATTAAACATTACATAAGATTGAATTTACTGTATCATTGTAATCATTATCAGGTTTCAGAAACAGTTGGCACAGAGGTGGAGATGTCTTGTTGCTGTTCTTGTTGTTGTTGGTGGTGGTGTTGAGGAGGAGGAGGCGGAGCAGGAGCAGGAGGAGCGTGTCTTTGTTGTGCAAGGTGTAGTTCACATCGACTTTGACGATGTTTTTCTACCAGATAAGAGAAACTTGTGTCTAACCACTGTTTAATATCTGCATATGTGACTATAATCACATTTTGACTATCACGACTGACAAGACACAGGCGTTCAAGTGAACCAGCTTCAACCTATGATAAAAATAAAGAAAGATACAATTTCATGAAATAAAGAGCACACTAAGCGTCAAATATATTCGTGAGTCAATAGTTTAGATAACAGATATAAAACAATCTGCTGCATAAACTTTGCCAAGTGAAGATGTCTACAAATATGTAGACATAAAAGCAGCATAATTCATACAGCTTGCAGGTACTTTTTTCAAGTCTAGATTTGATAATTTAGTTTTGGATGTTAAATTCACCAGTTTCAATTAATCAATTTTCCTAGTCTGTGGCAGTAGATGTTGTCTGTTCATCGGGGATGCTGCTCGTTGTCCTCCGTTTTTGTTCAATCTCATCGAAAAATGTATGAATGCAATTGACTCTAACTGACTTTAGCGAATTAAAGATTTACTTGTTACCAGGGAATAATATGCAGATGACATCATCCTCCTAGATAAAGGTGCTAACCTTCTAAACACTTTGAGCACAAATCTTCGAATGTTAAGCATGCGATTCGCCCTAGTCAAATGTACGATGATACTAGAGAACTCATCTTCACCGAAGCCTAGTTTAAACATATAGAATAAAGTGGTTGAATGTGTTGACCATTTCATTTATTTAGGAGGTTGCATCAGCCCCCAATGGACTGATTGCTGACGAAATCTCAATACAAGTACAAAAGGGCTGATGCGGCATTCGCCAACTTATGTTCCTCTGGCGTAGATGTGACATCCAGCTATCGACCAAAAACCGTGTGTACTACGCATAAGTTCACTTGGTCCTTCTTTATGGTTGTGAGACATGGCTATTGAAAGTGAAAGATCTGAAAAGACTAGGTAGCTTTGATCACAGTTGTTTGGGTTCCATCTCTCATGTTAAGTGGTAAAATACGATGAGTAATCTTGAGGTCAGGCATAGTGTTAATTAGGGAGGGTAAGTCAATCGATCAGGTAGGGAAACTACATTGACTGGGATGGTTAAGACGCGTGTTGTACATACCCAGCTGTAGCCTTCCTTAACCTCCAATGTTAGTCGATATAGGTTCAGGTTGGAAAACAGTCGTAGTCAAAGAGAAACCAGGAATCAGTTAGTTTGAGCCACCTAGAGAGGTGTAGACGCCTGACTGCAGTTTGGCTGAGGAATTCTAAGAACAAATGACTACGGACTGCTGGTGACATGGCTCAAAATCGTTCTCAGTGACGCGGATGCATCCACTCCTTGTTATCTCCCATATCCACTAAATCGTCATGTTTTTTTTCACGTCACGATTCTTTCGTTCTCCTGCACATTTGTGTTTATTACAGTTCGTTCGAATTTCTTTTTCTCGTTATCTTTTGTTCGCCTTTATGTGCTACAGGAGTGTGGCATTTCTTTCAAAGTTCTACACTGAAACAAGTCAGTCAGTCAGTCACAGCAAGGTAACAGGTTTCAAAATTAATAAATTGCATAGTCTTCTGTGTGTATGTGGAATGTCTTGTCATAAACCACACTAGTGCTATTTGAAAAGAATCAATATGGCACTTAAAGCTGATTAACTGCAAGCTATGTTATGTAATAACGAAATTCAGAAGTCGATGAACAGCAAATTGATATGAAAGATAACCACCTCTATAAGAATAATTAACATACTTTTTTATTTCCAATTACTAAATTCATTCAAATATTTCAGCTTAAAACAAACACGTATATGAACTGGTTTTACTATATTTCTTCTGCATATACTAAATTTAAACTTCCTCGTGTGGTTACACCTCGTACAATTCAATGAAAAACTCCTCCATTGAGAAGAGATTCCTCCATTTCTTGAACACTAATAGTTAACTAATAAACTGTCATTTTATTTCCACTACACCGTTAACTATTCTCGTTCAAAAGTAACGAATAACGGCACCCAACAGAACAGGCTATTAATTCTGCTTTCTCAATCGAAGTGGAATATACGACTTCAAAGTTGAACTTTGAAGTTTCAGGAGAAGTGGTGTTTTTTACGGGGTGGGGTTAATACCAGTTGGGCAAAGTTTAGGGTATGCGTCGACTGGCAACTTAACCCCCAACCACTTGCGTAGTTGGCGAACATTCTAGCATTGCATCAATGACTCAATCAGATATTATTCTTCGTATCAATAATAAAGCGAATGTAAACTACTGCCACTCTAGAGTTACCTGAATAACAAATCACTGTGTTACCTAAATTCCCCATCCCCATGTATATGCATCATATCTACTTCATTTCACATTGTTTAAATCACCTCCACAAACCACAATCTATAATCAACGCACATTTTTAAGTAAGGGAATGGGAGGAAAAACATTGTGGAGCATTGGGGGTCATGATGTTTTCGGATAGAACAATATATTGGATCGGGTCCCAGTGACTCAATGGTCTACGAGCTCGCCTTGCAACCAGAAGGTCCCGGGTTCGAGTCCCGGTGGATGCATGCTGCTGAAGAGTCCCAAACTAGGACAAAACAGCTGTCCAGTACTCCCTGCAGGTTCTCCGGTGGTTCTCTAACTGATGTCAGCTCATGATGAAATCCTTCATCCAATCGAACAATATATTGTCGATTATTATTATTACATTACCTGATGATTTTGCACAAGGAGTAAATGTCTTGCAGTTGAAAACACGTTATATACTCTGCATTGTGTATAAACACACCAATCAGAATGAAACTATTGTTATCCTTATTTTTATTGTTATTATTATTACTATTTACAAAACAGAGTATTTTAAGTTGTGATTCAACTATGAATAATAGTAAATAATAATAATAACAGTAATAATAATAATAAACAAGTTCCACGACCACATTATAAATTAAAAGTAATCACGCGGCTTATAATCATGTTTTTGACTGTATTAAACATAATTACACACATAATCTACTTGTAGTATTCATCATTTGATTTGTAGTCCTCAATGAATAGTCTAAAACAACGTACCTTATTCAATGTAGTGATTATATGCGCAAGATCTAAGTATGGAGCACCAAGGGGATCGGATTGATGAAATACAAAATCTCGGAATAATTTTAACATATAACGATCACCGGTTTCAGACCATTCTGGAGATATACCCTGACTATATATATAAGACAGTAAAATGAAATAATATGTATACGTGATATCTTATAATAATAGTGATAATAATAATCCTTTAAGTTGGAAATAAATAATCAAGTTGATATTGAACATAGGATAGTGTTTCTCTTTTTATTATGGACAAATGATTCATATTATTTCTATGTGATGAAAATAGAATAAAAGGTGGTAATATGCGTAGGCATTGGATAACATCCTCAATTGTTCATAAAGTTGTCAAGAACATCGTAGCTTAATGGAAAGGACAAGTGTTGAACGCTGATTTTTTCGTTTCGTCACGTTCCTATCGGAATATGGGGGTTCAAGCGCTAAGCCTTGAAGTTTCAGAAGCAGTAACTTTGTGTTTACCAGCCTCACTACTGGCTAGACGAGGTTTAGGAGTGCGTCGTCCGGGAAACGAACCCGGACCATCTGTGTGGCTGACGGGTATTCTAGCCCTGAGCCACTGACACACAAGAGGACACTGATGGCCGATCACATTTACCTTCCGTAAGTAATAAATTCACCCCGGTAACAGTAGGATGAGTCTCCACGATACCTAACATAAAGTAACGAAAAAACATCTAATGATGACCGAGATGTAATTGACCTACTTGGAAACACCACCTATACATATAAATAAGACAGATATAGAATAAGTACATACAGCAGTATTCCATAATATCTAAATCCTTGATCCACATAGCTGAAGTACATAAAACAAATGAAACAAGCCTTCAGTAATCCAGGTACCTAAATACCAGCCGTAAACTTCATTGACACAAATCCATGTTGTTTTATTTCTCATTTTTACCAATTCTTCAACTTTAAAAATATCCTCCTCCACTAATTTACTTCCAATGTCATTATATTAGGTGTAACTTCTGGGAATGATACACAAGTTCAGGAGCTCCGTTGTTTATTTCGAGAATAAGGCACTCTAATTCAACGAGCACTTCATCAATGACACAATTTGCAGATTTAAAAAAAAAACATTAGGAGGATTGACCAGAGATTAGATGATTTACACAAAGATGTTTGCGTTTGTCAATGATGTTGTTTGTTTTAGCTTAATTATTTTTCATGTATTAAGCTAAGGACTACACACATATTATGTCAGGGCCGATGATACTACCCCAGGTCCTACCATGCCAGAAAGGTTGTTTGGATAGCAGTTAGACAAAAAGCAGCTACCTAATCCAACACCATGATACAAACAAATCCCCAAAATATCATGCCTGATCGGTCGGGGCCCGGATTAAAAACGATCGCGCTTCCTGCTGCCGTGTCACATGGAAGAAGTGATAAATATGCTACTGAGACACACCAAATGAAAAACAAACAAAAACAGGCCATGTGTGACCGGCCTCAAGCACTTGTCCCCTGGGCTCTGCGGTCACGCAACCAACTTCCACGGTGTGGGCAGCTGGGAAGTAACAATCGCCCTCACAATCCGAAGTGCCAGTGCTCACGCTCAAGTGGAGCAGGTGGAGCAGGACTCAAACCCATGAACCCTTGACTGAAAACCGAATGTTTAAGCCAGTGAATCACGTCTCCACTCTTTGCAAACATAATACCAACACCACTAGCTAAATGTGTTTACAAACCAGGTGATAATAAAGTGACTAGGCAGGCAATACTTATCACTCAGTTAGAGCATACCTCAACCTCGCCTAGATTACTAGGTCACTAGTATTCTAGCCGGTCCCAAGCCCGGATAAAGAGGGAGGGTTGGGGCGTGGTGCTAGCAACTCCACCCCCAAAACTTAACCAAATTGCTACTAAAACTTCAACGCACAAATATATTCAAAATTCTAAAATTACAAATAGTGACCTTATTTCTCGCTGGAATCGGGGAAGTGAAATGACGCGGGCTGGTGAAAGCCTTCGGGAAGCCAGTCAGCCGATGTGCCTTCTTTCGATGAAAGCGAAAATAAGGATGGGGACGTGGAATGTTCGTACAATGTACGAAACTGGAAAGGCTGCTCAGGTAGCCGCAGAAATGAGGAGATATAAAATAGAAGTGTTGGGAATCTGCGAGAGCAGATGGAACGGATGTGGAAGGAGCCAACTATCAACTGGAGAGACAATAATCTACTCCGGTCACCCAGAGGACAATCACGAGCACACCGAGGGAGTAGCCATCATGATGTCACCAACAGCGGCTAAAGCTCTCATGCAGTGGGAACCAATCTCCTCCAGGATAATGACAGCCAGGTTCAACTCAAAAGGAAAAAAGGTTACAATCATTCAGTGCTACGCGCCTACAAACGCCTCAGAACATGAGAAGAAGGAGGATTTCTACAGTCAACTACAAACAGTAATGGACAACGTCCCAAAGAGCGATATCAAAATCCTGATGGGCGACATGAATGCGAAACTGGGAGGAGACAATACAGGAAGAGAACTCACCATGGGTCGTGAGGCCCTCGGTGAAATGAACGAAAATGGCGAACTCTTCTCAGACTTCTGCGCCTTCAATGATTTGGTGATTGGTGGCAGTGTGTTCAAACACAGGGATATACACAAGGCAACATGGATTTCACCAGATGGACACACCAAAAACCAGATAGACTTCATTTCAATCTCAAGGAAATGGAGACGGAGCCTACTGGACACAAGATCGAGGAGAGGAGCAGATGTGGGTTCAGACCACTATCTAGTACAAGGGACTTTCAAGGTGAAGCTGAAAGCCTCGAGGATACCTGGGGATAGGCCACAATGCAAGTTCAACACGCAAAAACTGAAAGACACAACCACAAAGGACACTTTCACTGCAACTGTCAGAGCAAAGCAGGAAACACTACGTGGCACCACTGAGGAATCATCCGTGGAAGACCATTGGAACTCTCTGAAGGTAATTTTCAACGAAACGTGCTCAACGGTTTTAGGAAGAAAGAAGAAACAAGACAAGGAATGGCTCTCAACAGACACTTGGAAACTAATAGAGGAGAGGAGAAAGGTGAAAGAAAAAATGATTCAATGTAAAGATGGACAAGAGAAAGAGACGCTGAACTCAACTTACACTGCACTGGACAAAGAAGTGAAGAAGAGTGCCAGGAAGGACAAAAGACAATTCTACGACAACCTGGCTACTGAAGCTGAGAAGGCAGCAGGCAAAAGGGACCTGAGGACACTATATCAGATAACCAAGTCTCTATCCGGGAAGAGATCAACACAAGTGAAACCTATAAAAGACAGCCAAGGGAACCCAATTACCAAAGAAGAAAGACAGATTAAACAATGGGCGGACCACTTCAAAGGACTCTTGAATCGACCACCACCTGCAACCCGTCCAGAAATACCAACAACAGCACGTACACAACTGCAAGTTGACACCAATCCTCCAACGAAAACTGAAGTCATGAATGCAATCAAGCTTCTGAAAGCTGGAAAAGCAGCTGGACCAGATGGAATACCCCCAGAAGCACTGAAAGCGGACCCAGAAACGACGGCAGATATGCTGACTCCATTATTGCAAAAGATCTGGAAGGAGGGAAAGGTGCCTACTGACTGGAGGAAAGGTTACCTCGTGAAACTACCAAAGAAGGGCGACCTAGGACTCTGCAAGAACTGGCGAGGAATCATGCTCCTGTCGACGCCAAGTAAAATCCTGAGTCGCATCATCCTGGAGAGAATCAAGGACGCACTGGATACAGAACTCCGACCAGAACAAGCTGGATTCAGGAAAGGCAAATCATGTTCTGACCAAATTGCAACTCTACGCATTATCATCGAACAAAGCATGGAATGGCAATCAAATCTCTACCTCAACTTCATAGACTTTGAGAAGGCCTTCGACAGCGTTGACCGCGAAGTAATTTGGAAACTACTCGAGTACTACGGCGTACCCCAAATATTCATCAACCTTATTCAACAACTGTACGACAACAGCACATGTCAAGTGATCCACAACGGAAAACTCAGCGAAGCGTTTCGAGTAAACACAGGAGTCAGACAAGGGTGCTTATTATCACCAATGATATTCCTAATTGTGGTGGACTGGATTATGCGTCAGACAGTGGGAAACGAGAAGACAGGGATATCCTGGACCGACGTGAATAACCTAGAAGACCTGGATTTTGCGGATGATTTATGTTTGATGTCACACAAAATCGAAGACTTACAAGCAAAAACCGACAAACTGGTCGAAGAAGCAGCAAAGACAGGACTCCAGGTGAACATAGACAAGACGGAGGTCATGAAAATAACCAACCAACAACAGCAACAACATCCAGCGCCAATCACCATCAACGGGAGGGATTTGAAAGAGGTTACTTCATTCACTTCACTGATCTAGGGAGCATTGTCTCAACTACAGGCAGTCGGAACGGACGAGGATGTCAAATCGAGAATCGGGAAGGCGAGAAACACATTCATCAACCTGAAACCAATCTGGAAATCTTCGTCACTCAGCATCAACAACAAAATTCGGATTTTCAATACAAACGTCAAGTCAGTTCTTCCATACGTACGGATCAGAAACTTGGCGGGTCACAAAGAATATTTCCAACAGGTTGCAGACCTTTATCAACAACTGTCTTCGCTCCATACTGAAGATTAGATGGCCGGAAAGAATCACAAACAAGAAGCTATGGGAACAAACGAAACAGGAACCAATCGCCCAACAAATATGCAGGAGGAAGTGGAGATGGATTGGACACTCGCTGAGGAGGCCGCTGGGTGACATCGCGCGTCAGGCCATCGCTCGAGTGGAACCCGAAAGGGAAGCGGCGAGTGGGACGTCCAAGGGTGACATGGAGGAGATCATGTGAGGAGGAGATGAAACAGTATGGAATAACATGGACGCAAGTGAAAAGTACAGCAGAAGACAGAAAAAAGTGGAGACGTGCAGTTGAAGCCCTATGTTCCACTAGGAACCCAAGGGAACAATAATAATATAATAATAGAGCATACCTCAACTTATTTTGTGTGAACAAATTGTTTGTTATTCTAAATAGAATACTATACTACAACATTCTCAAAGGAATCACACTTTTCTTCATCACGATTTATTTCTAGTTCTAGAAAAAGAACAACCAACAAATAAGAATTTCAGAACTATCCATACTAAATGTGCATACTACTGAACAATAATGAAAGGCATGAGAGGAAGAATTAAAAGACTGACGAATATTACACTTTAACAAACAAAAACAAATGAGAACACGCTTGGCATGCAATTTCAAATAAACACTATACACAAGAATAAAATAGTCGACATGTACACATTCGGCAACAACTGGCGCTAAGCAACACTGAGTAGCTAATGTAATAGGAAAAGAAAGCATAAGTTGACTTGAACTTAGAAACCACTTTCATATGAAAAACACTGGCATGAAACAAAAATACAACAAGCAATTTTCACATATTTTCTTTTTGATTTAACGCAAAGAAATAAATTTCATACTATGATCTTTCATATGGATTTCTGTGAAAAAAAACATTCAATCATAGTGGATAGCAAGAGAAAGTAATTTAGGCACGGAATAATGCTTATAGGCTTTTTGAGAAGTCACATGCAAGCATTAAACCAATGGCTATACTTCCGCACAATTCTGTTGTAAACAGTAACAACCTGTAGACAATGAACACGTAGAACGGCGTTTCTACAATGTAGTGGTTACAACGTTAGACGTAGGGAAATCAATCGATGATTGAAATGCCTAGGACACGTGTGGTGCATACTGAGCCACCGCCTTTCTTGACGAGCAATATTAACTGATACAGAATTGGGTTGGAAAACGGTTAAGGGTGCTCCACCCAAAACTTGAAATCAATTCATAGAGTCCTTGACAGTTGGTTTGAGGCATGTAAGGATGCCAATGACGACTTGAAACTATTCGTGATATGACTCAAAGTTGTTCTCAATGGCGCAAATGTATTCACTTTTTATACAAATTTCCCATATCAATTGAACCCTCATGTCTTTCTGTGTCACTATTGTATTTCCCAGGAACATTTCCGCTTATTATAGTTCTTTCAAATCCCTTCTTTTCTTTTCTCTGCCTTTGTGCACTAAATGGAATGTGGCAAGTTGAACAGCAGCTTTTTCTCTGTGCAAAGTTCTATGTTGAAGGTTAGCCAGTTATTAGATACCAGAAATTCGTTAAAAAAACTCAGGAGTAATCAGTAAAATTATGAGTGACTCGACAACTGTACATGGTTCAATTGTTAGATAATCAGCGGCAACTCAGTAAATAAGGACCTTGTAAGGTTGGGGTTTCTCAGTTCAAAAAAAGAACATCTGTTATTTACAACAGTTACGACCAAAATCAATCGTACAAACAGATTTCAAATATTTTGGTAATCACAGTGAAAAAATATTTCTTTTAAAACAGTACCAATATTACTCATGCACAAAATATAGCCCCTCCTGCAAGAAATTCTGTTTAGAATCTAATTGTGCAAAATTAAATAGAAATAAAAAATATGATTGCCTAAGCAAGCATGCATCTTGCAAACACCAAGTGATTGTACATTTAAAAGGAAAAAGAAACACACACAGTAATTGTTGGAATACTCACTCGCAACGCTCCACAATGGACTGTAATTTGCAGATAAGTCGGAAAAGTCTGTCACATCCCAATTCCTAAAATGAAGAACAATACACAAGAAGAGTAATTTTCAGCAACAAACCTTTATATGTATATATATATATATATGTAATTTAAGTGAAGGGAGATTGTTGCGTGATACAATAATCACTTTCTACAATAAGCCACAACTATTCGATTGTTGGTTCGCAGGGATTTGATTTGATTGGTTACGGGATCTCATCATGAGCTAACATCGGTTAGAGAACTGTTGGAAAACCTGGGAGTACTGGACGACGGTTTCGTCCCAGTCTGGGGCTCTTCGTCAGCCTACACCCACTGCCAGAGTTCAAACCCAGGACCTTCGGGTTACAAGGCAAGCTCGTAGACCGTTAAAGCACTGAGACCCAATCCAAAGGCTCATAAATTCCAACTTCGCCTTGTAACCGGAGGGCATTGGGTTCGAACCCCGGTGGGTGTAAGCTGACGAAGAGCCCAGACTAGGACGAAACAACTGTCCAGTACTCCCAGGTTTTCCAATAGTTCTCTAAACGATGTCAGCTCATGATGAAATCCTGTAACCACAGAACGACTATCTTTAGACAATTCATCTAGCGGTTGACAGATTTTTCCAGTCAGTGCCGCTTATTGCTATTTCAAATATAATAGCATTATGTGACATTTTCAATGAGCATGTTACTAATTAGACTAGATTTCCAGTAATTTACTACTACTACTACTATTTTATGCGTTTAACTGTTCGTAGTGCAATAATTTTATTTTATTTACGTTTAAACAGTAATGAGTAACTGTATTTCTTAAACTCCCCCTTCCTTATGTATAAAGAAAATTTATAAATTAGATTATCGGTTTCTGTGGGGATTCAGATTAATTTCAGTGTAGATTTCCTCACGAAGCAACATCGGTTCGACACCAGTGACAACCAGTACACTGGATAGTAGTTCCATCCTAGTCTGAGAAACTTCCACAGTGCACACCCACTGTCCGACCAGCGATCACTAAATTCCCAACCCAAGTGGTTGAATGATCAACGGGCTTGTTCTCATAATCTGAAAGTCCCAGGTCCGATCCCTGATGGGGTCGCGGAAGCATATTGATGAGGAGTCCCAAACTACGACGAAACAGTCGTCCAGAACTGGCTAGTTTTCAGTGATTTCTATCTGATGTTAGTTAGTGTCGAAGGCCATATTGAAATGTTCAACTGCTTTACTATTTCTTTATTGTGCTTTTTGTTGACTTCATTTTTAATGTTTTGCTGGTGTGACACAGTGCACTATTACGTTATATTCTATACGATTTATTTCCGCCTGATTACTGAACCGAACACCATCTAGCAAGAAATAGAAAGAAATAATGAACTCACTGATAATAATTGACTTTCTAACAAGTCTGAATGATCATATAGCCTTGTTAAATGATCAAATGCAAATGGTGCAGTAGCTCGCATTAGCTGATCAGCTCCAGTAATTTGTCCTGATATAAGACTACGGATTAGAGTTACCAATTCTGGTCGATATGCTCGTTGCATTAAATTAAAGGAAGAAACCCGTTGACTAGCCTTCAAGAAGAGAAAATATGCATTGGAAAAGATTGAGATAATAATAGGCAAAGATATTTTAAACAAAACATAAACGATATTAAGTTTTCTAGGCAATTAAAATTGACGCAAACTGCTACAGTAATCCAGTTGAACTAGTCATCAATAATTGAAGGACTTCAGATACTTAACTATCAATGTTTTGCATGTGCGACTCAGAGAAAATGCGTAAAGATCGAGCACTTCAAGTCGAAAACGTAAACCGGACAAGAAAATAGAAATATGATAACATTACAATATACGAACATGCATCACAAAATACGAATAGAATGCGGACACTGCAATAGAGAGTAGTCCCATCAGGGAATAATTCTATTTGATAAAAGTACACAGCAACACAGTGTTATTCACTGATAACGTTTCGAGCACAACTTATTGCTTATTAGGACATGCCGTTCGATGAATACACAGATGTTCTGTCTTTGTTAAAGATGGTGCGATTTATCAAACGCCAAGTGATTGCTTTGTATGCATACTGCAACTTAAACAGTAGTTAATCCAATGGGAATCGTGAGATTTCAGAAATAAATGAAATGATCAACATCCACACGACTGATTCACTTCCTATCCTTATGCTAACAATTACTTCAAAGCAGGCCTCCAGAATCATCCAACATCGGACAAGGACGAATCACACGACAAACTTTTCGAGAATTCCGCCCTACATGTTCCGATGACTCTTCATTTTGCTAACGTTATCTTTACACTACAAATCGACGAGGCTCTTTCCCAGCAGCAAGTCAATCCCTAAATCACTAAAGTTAGTCACAGTCTTATTCTTATTAAACTAAAATGAAGATAGTGAGCATGTCTAACGAATACCACTCGTCGTCATCACTTCAGATGACAACTCTCCATAATTTCTTAAACTGCTGTGTGAGTTCGAATAAATTGTTTTGTTTAATGCCACATACTTTCTTGGCACTCTCACTACGGCCAGATACTGCCATAGTGCTTCTCAATAGACAAAATTAAATGTCACCTTCAGGTTAAGAAATAATGGCAAGTGTTGCACACCGGTATTGTTTATGTTCCAGAATCTATCAGAGTGTAAATATGATCGAACATAAAGCCTACCTGAATTTCATGGGGTTTTTTTACTTTCGAGCACCGCTTAATCTATGCAGGATTATGGGACCTATAATTTTAGATACTATGATTAACAAGCTGACTTCTCCACCCACCCAACCCTGCCTGTAAATATAATAAACTGAGACAATCGATGAAAAACTTCACTCAATGAAGAAGACTAACCTGTACAGCTGCAACTGTGCCACATGCAACTCCTAACATTAATTTGCCAAGTTGTATGAAATCGGAAGCCTAAATGGAAAGTGAAAAATTATTGTTAGCATATATATGCACATATGCATATATATATATAGATCAAGCATATTAGGCGTACCTGATTTTCCAACAAATTAGCATCCTGTGCAGAATAGAACAGAATGTCCTTTAAACCAAAGCAGTTGATTTTCAAGCTGTAAAAACAGAAACATACGTATAGAATTAAAGCAGTTATATAGCTTTGTTATAAAGCTATTTGTCTTAGAAACATGTAGTTTGACATACAGAACAGTCAATATTTCATGCAGTTAGCACTGCTCCTCTGGCTTAATAACATCATATATACAAATGATACAGTTGAAATGGACATTTGAGGATGTAAACATATTTCAAAACATATAGATGCCAGGATTATCAACACCGCTTGTATGTCTAATACTAAATGAACAAGTAAACTGATCCTGTGTTAAGCAGTAATTATATTTTATTTATTGTTCCCTTGGGTTCCTAGTGGAACATAGGGCTTCAACTGCACGTATCCACTTGCTTCTGTCTTCTGCTGTACTTTTCGCCTGCATCCATGTTAATCCATACCGTTTCAACTCCTTTTCACACGATCTCCTCCATGTCACCCTTGAACGTCCCACTCGAGCGTTGGCCTGACGCGCAATGTTACCCAGTGGCCTCTTCAGTGAGTGCCCAATCCATCTCCACTTTCCCATGCATATTTGTTGAGCGATTGGTGCTTGTTTTGTTTGTTCTTGTTGGTGATCCTTTATGGCCATCTGATCATCAGTATAGAACGAAGACAGTTGTTGATAAAGGTCTGCAACAGGCTGTTGGAAATATTCTTTGTGACCCGCCAAGTTTCTGATCCGTAGAGAAGAACTGACTTGACGTTTGTATTGAAAATCCAAATTTTGTTGTTGATGCTGAGTGACGAAGATTTCCAGATTGGTTTCAGGTTGATGAATGTGTTTCTCGCCTTCCCGATTCTCGATTTGACATCTTCGTCCGTTCCTCCTGTAGTTGAGACAATCCTCCCTAGATAAGTGAATGAAGTAACCTCTTTCAAATCCCTCCCGTTGATGGTGATTGGCGCTGGATGCTGCTTAAGCAGTAATTAACGCTGATAGAATTCAGGATCATGGAGTAATCACTTCAAGAAGTTCATTGACAAGGCAAATAACAGACATAAGGAAGACATACATCACGAGACTTTAGTAGTAGTAGTATAAAAAAAGAAAAACTATAAAATTATATCATTTCAGAATAAAAAACAGAATTCTACCGTGGACCGTCTTGTAATAACACTTTGGTAGGATCTAGTATACCGCATGACCGACGAACTGTTTGATGAATAAACCGTAGGCCACTGGTTAACTGAACTAAATACGACCATAAAACAGATTCTTGAGGCATTCCCAGATCAGTTGGTGCATCTACAATTTAAAAGGGTGAAAATATCAGTGGCAAAAAATAGAGTGTATACAGTTTAACACTAGCGAAAATAAATGCAATAGGGTTTTTGTTTCACAAAACTCCACCATATGACTGACAAAACAAGTTGAACCTACACGTTTTCACATTCCTGTCAGTTCATTTATTAGGTGAGTGTATATAGAAGGAGAATAGAATGTTACTCAACATAACTGAAATCTCATGAAGTTGGCAATAAACTACACCTATCGTGTGGGGGCTAGTGAGACTACCTGGAGGCTCAAATCTCGGTAGGTGGGGTGAGGTTCGAACTCGTGACCAACTGGTTGGAATTCAAGCGCCTAGACTCATGAGCCACAGTTCCACGGTTGTGTAGACACTATCCACTGGTAATGTCTAAAAGACGGATATCTTTTGAATGAGATCCAAGGTATAAAGTAGTTCACAACTGTTGTTATTGAAATTCTATAAATTCTATAAAAAACTGCACACAGCAATACCGTAAAATCTTTGTTCAAAACTTTACTAAGTGAATTAATGCAACCAGTAGAAGTGAAGCGTTACATCTTGACATTATTACATTACTGAAATTGATGTGCACCAGAAAATAATAATTAGCAGAGGTCATGTCCAATCACCTTAATACCATTACCGCGTAACATCAAGCCACCAATGTTTAAAAATTTCATAAAATTCATCTTTTTGTTACAGAATATGGGTATTGTGTATAGCTTATGTATTAAACATATTAGTAGACTGATAAAGAGACTTGAAAGGCATAAATGTTCAAAACTAATGCAACCTTAGCATGCCAAGAGTTATATAGAGTTTTACAGTTATGACTAGAACTACTATTATTATTGCCACCAATGCGGTAAATAAGAATACTGATAATGGTTATAACATTAGCCGCTATTGATCTTTTTCAAAATCTCGAAAGTAACACTTAAGGACATATACATGTACTGAAAGAATAATAACCCAGTGATATTGATTCAACCTATTTCATCACATGTTTATAGAAAGCGAGGTTATCGTATAGTCAATCAATTGTTGATATAACCATATTCGTGTTAAAAACTATTAGACTAGTTTTTTTTCATTGTTTTGAAGATTGATGTAATTTCGGTGGAAGAAATGTACAGTGAAATTATGACTGAAAGCAATAAACAGAACTGGCTTATATTTTTATCAACTATGTACTGCAATTAAGAATATTACTTTTATTATTATTCCTTTGCATTCCGAGTGGAACATAGAGCTTCAACAACATATCTCCACTTTGTTCTATTTTCTACTGTCCACTTCACATGGGTCCACGATTGCCCATAATCTCTCATCTCCTCCACCCCCCCCCACACGACCTCCTCCATGTCACACTCACACCGACGACCCACTCTGATTTCACTCGAGAAATGGTCTGCATTGCGGTGTCATTCGACGTTCTGCTCAATGTATGACCGGTCCATCCAACGCCATTTTCTCCCGCATACTTGTTGAGCGATCGGCTCTTCGTTGGTTTGTTTCCAGCCAGAGTTCCTTTTCATTTATTCTTTGTGGCTAGCAGGCAATTAAATGGCCTTCAGTGTGGAGCCAACCAGCCAGCGAAGACAGCTGTTGATAAAAGTCTACAGTGGCATGTTGGAAATCCTTTCCGTGACACAGTGCGAGTTTCTCACTCATATAGAAGCATTAACTGACTGACTGCCTTCGCATTTGTGTTGAACAGAATCGGAATCTCGTTCTCGATTCTGCAGAGTGGAGAACATTTCCCGACTGGTTTCAGGTTGGTGAAGGCGTATATCGCCTTTCCGATTCCGACTGGACAGTTTTGACATCTTCATCTGTGCCATCCGCCTGTAGTTGAAACAATGCTGACTTCCTAGATAAGTGAAAGAAGTGACCTCTATCGAATCTCTCCTGTTGATCGTGATTGATGCTGGTTGTTGATGTTGTTGTTGTTGTTGCGGTTCGTTGGTTATCTTCATCACCTTTGCCTTTTCTGTGTTCACCTGGAGTCATGTCTTCTCTGTCTACTTCTTCAACCAGTTTGTTGGTTTCGCTTGCAAGTCTTCGAGTTTGTGTGACATTAGACATATATCATCTTAGGAATCCAGATATTCTAGAGTCTTCTTATCGGTCAGTTCAAAGTATTTCTGTCTCCTCGTTCCCAGTGTGCAGTCTGACGCATAATCCAGTTCACCTCAATTAAGAGTATCATACGTGATAATAGGCAGCACTCTTGTCTTACTCCTTCCGGTATTCACTTTGAACGCCTCGCTGAGTTTTCCGCTCTGGATCACTTGACACGTGGCATTGTCATATAGCTGTTGAATGAGTCAGATAAAGATTTTGGGCAACGTACACTGTAGTGTTGAAGTAGTTTGCAAATTACTTTTCGGTCTACGCTGTCTGTCGAAGGCCTTTTTGAAGCCGATGAGGTTAAGGTAGAGGTTTGACTACTACCATTCTATGCTTTGTTAGATGACGATGCGTAGAGTTACAATTTGATCGGCACCTCGCCTAGTTAACTAGCTGGCTATTTTTATAACCGGTCCCAAGTCCGGGAGGGTTAGGCATGGGGTTATCGAACCTACACCACAAAGACTAACAAACTGATAGAGAAACTGAAACACGCAATGATGATCAAATTCTTCCTAATACGAAATAATGACTATACAAGATGAAAAACAACATAATATTTAGATTATGGGTTCTCAGAGAGATTTTAATACATTTCAATGTAGATTGCGTTGCGAGGCAATACCAATTAGAAAATCATTGTAAAACAGGAAGCATTGGACAGCCGTTTCGTCCTAGTTTGGGATGCACTGCCGAATAGCTTCAAACTAGGACGATACAGCTGTCCAGCGCTCCCAGTTCTATAATGATTCTCTAAATGATGTTGCTTCGCGATGAAATCTACACAAAAAATAACACAATGGTAGGTATATAACTTACTCTTTACTGAACTATGAGGTAAAACTGTACGACTAATATTGAATGGTGAAGTAAAACTAGTTACTTTCAAGGGGTCGCTCATATGAATTTGTTGTAAAGTTGAAGAACACGGTATGTATTCGTAGACCAGTATAACCGCTTTAATTAAAAAAAGAAAGAAAAAATAAAACAAAGGATCATGTGATAAACTGTACGAATAATCTAGTCAGTGTGATTCGATCGTAAAAATATACCCAATGAGATAAGAAAGTGTTTGTTTATACAACATTACCCGAAAGTAGCTGGAAATACCAAAATTGCTGCTGCTGCTAGAAAAATATACTCTCTACCACTAATTCTACTGAAATTAAATTAAATTAAATAAGAACGATTGTAAGAAATCACATACGCCATTGATGTTCATGGATAAGCCATACAAAATCATGAAGAGATAAAATCTGACTAATGCACACTTTTAGTGACCTAATTTTCAATATGACGATTACAAGACAAACAGTCGTGGACTTACTTTTTTACATTGGGTTGCCGGTGTACATTGATGAATTATCATAGACTAGTATAAAAGTTGTTTCACTGTTATCAATTTATGGGGGGAGGGAAAAACTGCTTTGAAATAAAAACCAATTATCTACTAACTATACAAATAAATAGGCAATAGTTGAATCCATGCATTCACTTTCAAGAGCTACCTTAAGGATTTTATCAGCACTAAGTCAGCCTAGAATCCAGCTATTATCACAGGTGATAATGCAATAGCCAATTTTGGAGACAGAATATAAACCACATCATTTTAACGAAATCATGGCTATGGAGTTTCTCTTCTGTATTGTCTAAACGACGAACACATTATATTTAACACGATATCCTAAAGTGACAGAAACAATTCAGTGATATAAGAATAGAACTTGTGGCATGTGGTTAAGTACAATTCCATCGTGGGTAAAATAATTCAAAATGAGTACCGGAGTGCAATTTCACCTCAGAAAAATAAAGTAGTTATACTGGGCTACAAGCTAACTGCCTAAAGTAAATGCTCCGAAGCTTATTACAAACATATTACTTCAACAAGTGAACGTGAATAAGTCATCAAGTTAAAAATCAGTTACTTTCTTCACTTTGTCAAACTAAATAATTTAAATATGATGCGAAAATGGTGAATGTTTCATCCACCTAGGAATCATTGACATATATACTAATTGTGAATATTTACCCGACAGGATTCAAATATATAACAAAAACATCGCCATGCACTGAGATTACCTTTAAAACTAAATAAAAACAGGGAGATTCGAAGATGTTGCATCCTTTTTACGTGACTTCATCAAAACTCACCTTGAATGCTTTTCATCACAGAAGGGATGGAAGAGATACCTTCATACTTCATAGACACCCGATTGTTTTTGAACTACTCATTCATTAGAAACCCCACACAATTGGCATTTTTTTTCAATTTATATCAGCCAGCAGAATTCCCAACCATTTTAACCATAAGACGTCTCTTTTTTATCCAGAAATAGTTGAATGTTCACCATCCATCAAGCATCCTTTACTACTAAGGGAAGGGACCTTTACAACGTAGATTCAGAAGACCAACAAATGTAGTGGAAAAATGCTTGGACACTGACTGTCCATTTTAAACACCCAAGTATTTAAATAAGCACCTAAATTATTCGACGGGACTTACAATTATCGCTGAAAGCATCTGTGAAAAATACATCCCGAAATCCAACAATTGAAGAATGATTTAATTCTGAGAGATGTTTAGCTAAATAATAAGCATCGGGGGCTAAAGTTGCTCCATGCTCAGGTGGCAGAACTATGCGTCTAAGGAGGACATGAGAATTAAATCTTGGAGACCAAGCTTTAAAACAAACTCCAGGAAGCCCAAATGTAACAGATGCTCGTGGTTGATCAATAACTTCAAGAGGAACAATGTCAGTATATGGTCCAAGACTGCGAGGCAATTCTGTAGGACAGAAAATCATGACGACAATAAATGAATTTTTATTTTAAAAATAAGTGAGTGGAGAATGTTCTCTTTACACATAAAATAAGCAATTACATGCCATTATTAAACACCCCTAGGCAGTGATGGGAAAGCATATTTGCGTGAAAGGTTTTCTATATTACTACATTTGTATCATAAGAGGAACAACTTTGAAACCCTAAGATTAACTAAATCCTGGAACACAGCTAAAAATGAATCCATGGTAAAAACGCGTTAGTGATATCTTCCATTACTTACCTAAGAGTCAGCTCTAATCTTTCTATTTGTTTTTACAGACTAAATTTAGTCTCAGGTTGTCTTTTTTTCTGAAAGAACAATAGCGTCATGTTCGTATCACACGAGTTTTCCTTACAACATAAAATTTATATTCTCAAAACGCTGGCTTTTGAAAAGCGTTTTCACAGTTGTCTTCCGAAGTTCGCCAATGAATATATAAGTGCTAAGACTGGTAGAAGAGTGACGCTTAGATAACTTTATGAAACTAATTATCAGACGCGTTTTGCAATGAACACTTACACGCTACAATGAGTTTCAATTTTGGTAATAGTTAAAGTAATGCCAAAAACTTATCGTTTTGTGTAAATATTTATTACAAATATATTTCCACTTAAAACCTAAATAACTGGGTAGCATATTATCAACGTAACTCTTAGTCGAAACATCAAAAACCTAATTATTTTTTTATCGCTGATATAAAATTGTTGCCAAACTCATACTTTAAAATTTTTTCCTAAAACAATACAACTATTACTTACTTTCCTTTGTTGCTTCATCAACTGTTAATAAACAGGCCTCAAGTTTGTTGCGCAGCACCTAAAAAACAGGAATAAGTAACAATACTCAGTAAGCAGACAGGGATAAAAGCGTTGAATATGAAAGTGATCAAAACTCTTGGATATATCACAACATAAACAGAACGTAAAACATTCTAAAAGGATAATGTAAACATACACGCTTGAGATCGTCATCAATTGTAATGAAACTAGAGTTACGGTTATTGAGCAAATTCGACTTAAATTCATGAATTCTTCCCGTTCTCATGTGAGACGCAATGTCCTCAGGAACCGGCGGAACGAGAATCCACGAAGGCGTTCTGAGACCACCACAAGCCTGTAATTTTTTTGTATTTTCAAACTGATGACTTGAGTAATACTGAGAAACAGTAATGGGGATTACACAATTGGATTCACTGAATGCAGTTAGATGAATGTCAGGCCGTATCTCGGGTGGTAATGCTGCCTCGGCCTGGCAAAAGTTTAGAGACGGAATGGATGAATTTTGCATATAAGGCTGTGTAGGCTGAGTAGGTGGTCTTAAAGTCGGTGGTAAATAATTTCCAAATGAGTGGGGGGAAGCCAACATATTATCAAATGCAGATGAATTCGACTGATTGACATTAGAATTATTGATCCCTTCTCCCGAAAGATTGTCACTGGTCGTTCCACTAAATCGACCGGACCAGAAGGTTTGACACATGTCAGAACTCAAAGGAACTTGACGGCCATCTGGCAAGTTGGAGACCATGCGTGAAGAAGGAACGCCAGGAATCTGTAAAAGAACAAGTAACAGTCAAGTTTAAGTGATAATATTCGCATCATCAGAGAGTAAATACGGAAAACAAATTTCTTTCCAGTGTCTTTAGATGAAGTCACATTGGTTGTCCCGATAACAAAAGCATTCACAGCTACACCATGAGATACAACTTGTGTTATGTACGATTCTGAGGAAATAAAGCAAACGAATTAATCACTTAGTGGTTCCCACTGTAATATTAAGAACAATATTCAGCGAATAGATTCTTTTTGACGAATTTATTACCAAAGTAAACAATCATATATATTACCACACTACCATGTATTTTCATCCTTTACATGTTTTTCATCTGCAAAATGACGAAATTATCTAACAAAATAAACATGATGCTTTCGAATCAGCCTGATTTTAAAAACAGATACCTTTATTTTATAAAAATATATCACTTGACAATGTAGTTTACATCGCAGCAATCACCAATTAATCAACACAGTTTATAATTATATCTGCAGAAACAGCTGTACCCAAAAAAGTTGAGATTTCCGTCACCTAGTTCAACTTCTCCTTAACATATTAGCAATTAGATTTCCGACAGCCAAGCGTACAGAAGAATAACTGTGAAACGGAGATAATCCGATATACATAATTGCCACTGATCTGATAAAAAGAACTATCATGCTTGGAAATAGTATTTAGGACTAATCGACTGATGAATTGACATAGGTGCATAAATTTAAGCTGATACATGCACACAAAATAATGAGAGGTAGGATGATACTACAATAGACGAACATGGGTATGACGAAGAGAATAATGCACTAAAGATTAGTGAAGCATTTTCATACCTCAACATGATAAGAACCAAAGATCTGCACAACTTTGAACGACTTAAAAAATGACAAGAGTCATCAACAGCTGATTCTTAACATTCGAATATCAACCAGGTAGTTTACACTTCCCTAAGTGGCTCACACCAACATCTGATGACTATAGTTTGAGGCCATACTTTTATAACTGCAGCCAAAACTCCATTATCGAAAGTGGTGGTTTAGCATTTATACCCCAGTGACACAAGCAAACTGAAGTTAAATAATTTCAACTAAATCTGCATACTTCGTAATGCCAAGAAGTAATCATAAATTCATACACGAAGCCCTCCAAAAGCTTTTCAGTAAGTTACAGCTGGATAACTTATTCACATAACTGGTATGCGAAACCTAGTAGATTCATACTCCAGGTGTTTGGAAACCGAATAAGTAAATTCGGTTATTCTGTAAACGCAGAGGAATTATTACACCAAAGGGATCCTTTATAAAAAAATTTCAAACTGAATCTTTAATTTGAAGACTTCCTCAGAAATTCAGAGTGGCCATAAGACATGACACTGAGGTAATAGCCAATAAAAACATAAAATGAAATATTAAGTCAAAAGTTATCCCTTTCGCTGCACAAAGACTGCTCTCAGAAGTAAACTGAGCTACTCAGAATTATCATTTCTCTACCCACCTAAATATTCAAATCAACCCATTACTTTCCACTCATGTTCCCCTCTTTCTGTTATTGTTATTTGTGCCTATTATCCATTCAATTTACTTAAGCAAACTTGTTCCTCACAGTCAAAAGTCCTATGCAGAATAAAACACTATCTGAAGGAAATTACTGAGGTACGGCCGGAAGGGATTCAGGCACAAAACCCACTGGTTGAATGGACTGAAAGGAAAGTATGCAAAGACAATATCCTTTGGCTAGAATTTTTGCTGCAACTACCAATATATAAAGTAGAATGGACCGATAAACCTCTAATATCCTTAAAACCCGACTTACTTCCTATAGATTAACTTTCATGGGTGCTGAGTTTGTCAAGTTCAGTAACCACCATATAGTGGCGGCTAAATATCTTACACTACACATCGCAGTTCTGACAGATAAGTGCAATATTTCCATACTAAACTGACGACAGATTGTTGGTGTATTTTTTTTTTATTCACCTTCCTCAGTGGAACATAGGGGTTCAAGCTAGTGGCTTGAAGTTTCTGTAGCAGTGTTTATTTTACAGGATGGGGTTGCTAGCCTCATACCCAACCTTTCCTCTTCACCAGCATTATTCCTGACTTAGCGAGGTAGAGGAGTGCGTCGGCCGGGACCCCGGACCATGTGCATGGTCGGCGAGCGTCCTAACCACTATGCCACCGACGCACTTCATTGTTGATGTATGCTCCACGTATTTAGCACACCTCTACTGTAGTTCACGTTTTATCTGAAGAAAACCACGTATTATTTTATGTTGTAGATAGCATCTCTAAGCTACATACTCAGAAAGAACTAACAGCCTAGATCAACACACTTTAGATTGTTTCATAAAACACTACTAGCAATTGTTATCTTAGATCAAAAATCTTCACTCGCTCCTAAAGAGATATTACTTTGCATACAATGCCACTGTTCCATAATGTATATTATTGGTTTGAAGCCTAAGAAACAAAACCCCAAGATAGCGAGTGGAGTAAGACTTGATAGTCTCATGGAAATAGGAAAAGATGCAAACGAATAGGTAAACACAAGATATGTGGATGAGCAGCACCAGAATAGTGCACGGTGCATTCTAAGGCAGATGTGAACACTGGTAGAAGAAATGTTTATTTCCCGCAGTCAAGAAGTTAATATGCACAAGAACCTTCCAAGATAAAAGTTCCCACCTGAAACCAATCTACTTCATCGAACTTGAAAATAAAACTTACTCGATGGCGAAACATGTTGGCGAAACCGTGGTTTGCCGGAACAACAGCTTTCGGCGTGAGAGCGACTCTTTCAGGAGCCTTGGTAAGATGCCCATTTTGAGGAATAAGTGAAGAAGCTTTTGAAACAGATACAGTGGACAGCACAGAAGGTCTATTGCTAACTGGTCCAGAATTCAGCGACAAAAAATCTGGTATTCCTGTGGGACGACTAGAAGGCTGGCGAAGGGTACTTTCAGCAGATGAACCAGGAACTGAACGAGTAAAAGTTAACTGTGCAGTCGATGGCACCATTGATAATGAGCTAGTATTTTGATCACTTATCTACCAAAACAATATGAATGAATTAGAACGATTTATTAAACTTCGACATTCACCTGTGATACTTGATTAGGTCCCAGTGACAGATTTTTTAACGTATAAGATAGCATATTACTATTTTGGATTCCTGAACCACCGTAAACGTAGTTCGAGGTCATGGCCATTGACCATTCACCTGATATAAGATCCAAAGAAACCCTACTCCAAAAAACTGGACAGTGCCACCAAAAAATTAAAGTAGCAGTCGTTTAATCAAGAGAAAGATATTTGTTAGGCAAACTACATCCCCCGTCAAATGCTGAAAATGTAACGTCAAAACTATGGCGCCCGCCTGAAAGAAATGTTGAACTCTTCGCTTCAGACCGAAAACAAAGTAAAACCTTTGGGTAGAATTAAACCACTTCGATGAACTCCGTGACGAAAGTTCAAGCCGTTTCATAATAATATGAGAAACTTACTGACAAAATGCAGCCACGTAAATGAAAAATAACATAGCTTGCTACTTCGTTGTTCTCATAAAATGGACGGATAACTAGTAAATTTCCAATATCCAATATCCTGATTACGAGCTAGTATAAACCAGTGATTTCTTTGAGCTCGCTTCTTGATTTTAAGGTAGAGGTTCCAGATCTTCGGTGAACTTATGCGTAGTAAATCCCGCCACTCGACTGCTTTAGCTCTGGTAGACTCCAGGAGGAGTGATGCGAGGATTGGTCAAGATTGTGGTTTGTAGTGTGCAGTATGTTAGGACTCAGCTGCTGCCGTGAATGGAGTTTGACCTAACACCCGTCGGTCATTCGGTATAGTCATAAAT